GCGGGGAAACATGTGAGTAGTGGTGGTGACCTTTTTTATACGGAGGTCATTCTGTGCATGTTGCTGTTGCAGAATTTCATGATTCTGTCATAAAATTGTCTTGCCTTTCAGATATTTCAGATTTCCCCACCCTCGATCAGATTTATTTGAGAAAGGTAGCCATGCGCCAGGTGCGTGTCGCAGATGTTTTTGTTGATGCTGTGTTTATAATGGTTTATAATCATGGGTTATCGTGACAAGGTCATCCGGCATCATATTGCACTGAAATCGTAATCCTGTTGATGTCGATACAACTTTTGGAAGTAGTTCGATGACTTCAAACTGTTAGCCCACGATTATCTAAAACAACACAGCAAAGGAGGAACAATAAACATGTATTGAAATGTAAACAAATACATTGCTGAGTCCGATACCTCGTTCCAACAACTACACTGATCCTAAGGATAAAAGGGGCAAGGCTATGGTTGGAGGTACTGAGAGGTAAACAAGGCACTCCATGATAATAAAATATTACACATCTTTTGGTGAGTTTGAATGATATCCGGTCGAACCTCTTTAGGACGAACACCAAGGGACCGATGGTGTTTATTCTGTGAGTTCGTCTTAACCTATTTTATAACCAGTGAATACAATTATTTCTCCAATAGACATACGAATAGATTTCTTCTACAGCGAAAGATTCTAAGCCACACCGACTCATTGACTCATCTCGTATGAAACAAATGAGTCACTACAGAGGTTCTGAAAAACGAAAATGCGTACAAATTTTCGCTCTACATCATGAAGTGCGAAACTTCGCACTAACTTTCGCAACTTTGGACGCGAAACTTGCAGGGAACGCGAAATGAACTGTCGTAGGAAATTTCGTGAGATCGGGTCATGGCGTACGTGCACTTGGCCTGCGCAAACTACGAAAATGTGCAGAACGCAAAGTTCGTGGAAAAATTTGTACACACTTTCGGAAGGACTGTCGCGAAACTTCGTTCGAATTTTCGTTTTGCAGAACCTCTCTACTGAACCTTTCATTAGCAAGATGTCTGCAACAGAAACAGCAACAGAGAAGGTACGATACATGTACTGCACATTCTTGCAGGTACTACAGGTACTACAAACAGACTGCAGATCGTTATTCTCGCTTTGGCGGCACGAAACTTTATTTGGGGCAGTGCAATCTCGGCGGTACTCACAAATCAAACAGCCCAGACTCGAGTAAACAAATACAATCATACAAGTACGAGATTTTAACGAGACCATACTGCACCGATTGGCTTGTTTCGTATAAAGCAAACAAGTTACTGAACCTCTCCACAATGGAGATTTTCCCTGATATGCGAATTTATTTGGCAAACTCGGTCAATGAGTCCTTGAACCTTTCCCTCCAGATTGGGAACTGCCAACGATAGTATGCCACTGACCAGTGCCTTACTTGTAACGTACCAATGTGCCATGAATATGAGTATTTCGACAACACATTTAACATAAGCCTTACCGTCAAGAAGGTGAACTCGCGTTCTTCGCACACTGTAGACAAGGACAAAGAGATAAAAATGGATCTATTAAAATCTGAATAAAATCAGCACACGTTTCCGTAAATGAAAGGGTGAGCATAAGCAAATGAATCGAAGGAAACCGGTCAACTCAGAGATCACCTGTCATCGAGGATTCTGTAAAAGGAGGCCTCGGCAGCAGAAAAGCTGAATTTAGAAAAAGAGATCCTCTCAGCTTTTCCATTATTTATTGCATTCCGCCCAAAATTAGCACACTTTTCGTGAATGAAAGAGTCAACAAAAGCCAATGAATCAAAGGAAACTGGTCAACTCACCTGTCATTGAGTAGTATTCCGCGAAAGGAGGTCTCAGCAGCGCCGAAACGAAATAAGCCAGGCCATGAGACGAAATATCCGAAAGAGCTCATACAAGAAGCAGTTTTAAAGAAGGAAGTTCCTCGCGCATGCACATATCCGAACACGGAACCGCGGACTGCATGCACTGCATGCAACACAATGTCTGCCGTGCATGTGCACAGCACGCGGCTACCATGCGTTGGTAGATCTACCGTAACGTCGCGGATAAAAGCCGGGCTTATAGGCACATAAGCCGCTTTCTGCATCAGGCTTCAATGCAAACCAGGCTTGTATGCAAACCATGCTTATATGCACCACTGATATTTTTGCCAGGCTTGTATGCACATCGGCCGATCCGAGCTTGCATAGAAGCCATGCTTATACGCGCGACACGCGTAGACCTACAACTGACTACCGGTATGGCGGCAGTTTTACTATACACTGTCTATAGCGCATGCACTCTTGACCTACCCGAGCCGCGCTTGCATAGAAGCCAGGCTTCTACACGCGACAGGCTTATCTGCATTTGTCCCGTTTGATTTTCAGGCTTCTTTCAGCGATGTGCTTGTATGCAAACCCGGCTTTTATCCACGACTTTACGGTAATACCGAGCACCTTACGTAGAGACTTACGTAGCCTAAGGGAAGTACCGAGCACCTTACGTAGAAATTTACGTAGAATAGCGGTGTCGTTTTTCTTGCCATGTGAACACAATAATAGAAAAGCTGACAGGATTGCTTTTCTAAGTACCGTATTATACGCATTGATGTACAAGCCTTTCCTTGTAGAAAATGGATTTTCTTTGCCGTTGGTGCGGGGAGGAAGGTTTGAAGTTTTAGCGTTCTCCTGCTGTCAACCGGTGTGAGATATTTGCGATGCAGTAGCTCGTCCGTGGAGTTACGATGGCCCCTCCGGGAGGCTCCGTGCCAGGCGAGAGCCGTTGTTGCCAGTGCAGTGGCAACTCCAAGTGCGGATCCAGCTGTAGCTGCCGAGAATCGAATATATCCTGCCGAAATTGCACACCAGGAAGGAAAGCAAAAAAAAATCTCCTCCCGCCACCCAGTCAATGAATCCCGTAGGTGTTCAAACGGTGCGCCACGTGCCGGCACAATCACCCACATGCTCCCACGGAGGGGTCGGAAGTGGGCGACAGGCTAATACATGTAGTACTGATCAACATGAGACGACCACCAACCACTTGCCTACCGAGCTTAGCCCTCAGAGTCAAACTGCGCGACACACCTCAACAGTTCATACTGCCCATAGTCCTAGTGCGACCGCCTTCGATATGCCTGTCTCTTGTTTTCAACAGCTGACTTGGGACGAACTTGAAAATGAGCAGAACCGTGCACTCCTCCAGCCCGTGACTAAACGTGACACTACCCTATTGGCGAACTTGGACTCGTCACAATCATCTGAGCTGGACCTCCACATGGCCCACCCTGTGCCCGAACCCCTCAATGCACCTGCTCCACCACCTGGTCCAGGGGTCAATGATCTCTCCAATCTCCCTGACTACCCGCGTACCCTTGGATATTGTTTCTTCCTAGGGGATTTGGGCACACAGGAGACTGCTGGCTGTATCAATACTGCCTATGAAGCACTAGTCCACTACCGTCCAGATGCAATACAGGTCCCACAGGGTAACACTGGCAAGGACTTTGTGTCTCAACTCGCACAGTACATACAGTGCTTTGGTGTGAGAGGACAGTACGAGGGCCAAGCTTTCAAAGTTGCAGAGAAGAAACCAGCCAGTACACTCGGATGGCGGTTAACAGAGTGGAAGAAGGGGAACCTGCAGACCCTCATCCACGAATTTGACACCATTCACAAGGAGCTCAAGAAGCGTCGACAGAGAAGCAGAACCAGCAATGATGATGCACGTCACTTTGCATCCAAGGTGACCAGCGGCCGGCTGGAATCTGCCTTGAGACGAGTTTCCACCGAGGAGTCTCCTGGTGTGCTGGGACTGGATGACAATTCAGGTGACTACACTGTCCGGGAGATACTGGAAGCAAAGCATCCCCCACCAGCACCCGCGTCCATGGAGGCGTTGCTAGATGGTGACGCTACACCTACACCGCATCCAACAAGATTCTCTGGCTTAGACCGAGAAACGATTAGGAGAGCTGCCCTTAACACTCATGGAGCAGCAGGTCCATCTGGCATTGATGCAAACGCGCGGAGATGGATGTGTACGGCATTCGCGGAAGCATCAGACTTGCTATGAGATGCACTGGCTGCCTCTGCTCGACAGCTTTCAACAGAGCATGTTGACCCAGTCACCTTGGAGGCGTACGTAGCATCCAAGCTTATCCCGCTTGACAAGGACCCAGGAGTTTGCCCAATCGGCATAGGCGAAGTGGTGAGACGGATCATTGGCAAAGCCATTCTTGCCCTCATCAGAAGCGACATCCAGGAAGCAGCAGGAAGTCTCCAATTTTGTGCTGGACAGGAATGTGGCATTGAGGCCGCAATCCATGCAATGCAGCAGATGTGTGACCAAGACGACACCGAAGCAGTGTTGATGGCGGATGCCACAAACGCTTTCAATCTGTTTAACCGGGAACTCTGTCTACACAACCTGCGCCACCTCTGCCCATCCCTAGCCACAGTAGTGATCAACACGTATCGCTGCCCATCCAAGCTGTTTGTTGGAGGTAGTTTTATCATGTCGGCTGAAGGAACAACCCACGGTGATCCTTTAGCCATGCCCATGTACGCCGTTGCCATTCTTCCACTGATCCAGTCACTGTCAGCAGCGAAGGCCACTCAGCTCTGGTATGCGGACGACTCGTCAGCTGCTGGGAGCATCATCCGCCTGCGAGCATGGTGGGACCTTCTCTGCCAGAGGGGTCCGTTGTACGGATACAAGCCGAATCCATCAAAGTCTGTGCTGGTCGTCAAGCCACCGCACCTCGAAGAAGCCGCCAGAATCTTCGAGAGTACTGGTGTCACCATCACCGACGACGGTCACCGCTTTCTTGGAGCAGCTATTGGCACCTCTGGCTTTGTGGATGGCTACCTCAGCTAAAAAGCAGAGTCCTGGGGGAAGGAGGTCCTAACCCTCGCTGAGATCGCTGACTCCCAGCCGCAAGCTGCCTTCTCTGCCTTTACGCATGGCCTGAAGCACCGTTGGTCGTTTCTGTGCCGTGTGATGGAGAGGGCCGCTTCAGCCTTAGGCACGCTGGAGGAAGCAATTGCCTCCCGCCTCATCCCCTCGCGCTGTGGTCGCTCCGTGGGCTCCGTTGAACGGAAGTTGCTAAGCTTCACCTGCAGAGATGGTGGCCTTGGACTCCTCGATCCCACTGCACCCTCTGGTCAGTACAAGGCGTCATGCACCATCAACGCTGCGCTGGTGTCAAAGATCATCTGCCAGGACCCAGCCCTAGGTGCCACCCTCGACACTGTCTGCCAGACCAAGCGGAAACTGGCTAGTTACACCAGCCTGGCCACAGGAAGAGCTGCCACTGAATTTCTGCTGTCACTCCCGTCGGATCTTCAGTATTGCATGAGGCTAGCCAGCGAGAAAGGTGCCTCCTCCTGGCTCACATGCCGTCCCCTGAAGGCGCACGCATTCGCTCTGTCGAATGGCGAATTTCGGGACGGCCTGGTACTTCGGTATGGTTGGACTCCATCTCATATTCCAACACATTGTGCCTGTGGTGAATCCTTCACCATTTGCCATGCTCTGTCGTGCTCTCGAGGAGGATTTCCCTCCCTCCGGCATAATGAGGTTCGTGATGTGACGGCGTCTCTCCTCAAGCGTGTTGCCCACAGTGTCGTGCTTGAGCCACACCTGCAACCAATCACTGGCGAATCCTTCAGGCATCGTTCTGCCATCACCAACCCTCAAGCACGGCTGGATATAGCTGCGAGTGGTGTCTGGGGTGGACGGTTCGATCGCACCTTTTTTATGTAAGGGTTTTTAACCCGTTTGCGAGCTCAAACCTTACCACTTCAGTCCCCTCCAGCTACCAGCGTCACGAGCGAGAGAAACGGCGTTGATATGAGGAGCGAGTCTGTGAAGTCAAGCATGGCTCATTCTGCCCCGCCGTTCTCTCCACATCTGGAGGCATGGGGAAGTCAGCGACATCGCTATACAAGCGCATTGCTGACATGCCATCGGAAAAGTGCCAGGATCCCTACTTCAGGGTAATGGCATGGATCCGCTGCAGAGTAAGCTTTGCGCTTCTTCGTGCCTGCATTGCCTGCCTACATGGAGCTCTTCGTCCCATCTTTACTCCCTCCGTCACAGCTGCTTCGGTAGATCTCGTGGTTGCCGAGGCTAGGCTCCGATAACTGAATGATCCTCATTGAATAGACCCCTGCAATCGATGTTATGAGAGTTCTCCCATTAATATTATAACTTTTTTTTCGTATTATTAGTTTGTTTCTTTTGGTATGATTTCTTGTGTTTTTCACTCGGCTTTATTATCATTTAACTTCTTATTTGGTGCACATTAGCGCTACATGGTTTATAATTTCCCTTTTTCTTGATTTTGTATTTAGCGCTTTCGGGTGTTATTATTATTTTTTATATATTCGCACTAAATTATTATTTTTTGGCTACCGCTCTGCTTTCGTTTCGCGTGGATGTATAGAAAATGGCACTACAGTCCGTTTGTAAAAGATTTGCAATCCTGGCGATCGCCCGCGGAGTTTGGCGTCTTACGGTATGAGCACTCGAGCGCTGCCTGGAAAAACTCACTGTGAACTCGAAGAAATATTCCGCGCGAAAGCAGGAAAAATGACAACTCACTTACGTAACCGTCGTTGATACAGTCATGTACGTCTGGTTTACAACAAGCGAGTTCTTCCTTGTATCGATAATGGAGTCAGAGAGGACATGTCGAACCAAAATGGTTGCAAATGTTGACGAGTGGCATGTGTCCCAATTCGTTTTGTGACCAAATAGTTTATTTGAGCTGCGATGCAATTTACTCACCGTGTGACGAAAATGACATCGACAGGGACTCATTTCCAAGGCCATGACTTGGCAAAGCTATCCATGTGACTTCGACGACATTTTGAGAAAAGCAGACGCTTGTGAACGCTGATAGAAGACGCGTTGACTGCCAAATTCAAATAAATTGGCGATCTTGAAACTAAAATAAATCTCAAAAAGCTACAGCGCAATGACTTCCATATTCACTTACACCATTGCAGTGTTGTGGGTGTGTTCACATGGCGTGAGCCAGTCAAGTGTCAATCAGCTCGGCAGGAAGCGCGAGCTTCACCAACAAGTCGTTTGGTGCAGCCATCTTCTTTGTCTTGTACCAGCTAGCTTGATCACCAAAACATTGAAAAAAAAGTTTGACTTGAGGATAGGTTGGGATTTGAACTCACAACTTCATGGTCAGCAGACAGCATTCATAACCACAAGGCCAAAAAGATAGGGATAAATCGTGAGTTTTGATAAAAAAATCGATACTGGCTTCCTGGGCAAATTGTAAACCATGGGAAAAGGCCGGAAACCTGGCCGAAATTCTAACTCCTTAACGGCTGGTCCAATTGTTCCGAAACCTTCACAGAACCATTTGCCGTGTCCTAACATGCCATTCTATGTACTTTGTTGTCCAAATTTCCCTTTTCTTCATACTTTTTAAGACCCAAACCTGATTGTAAATATTTTTGAAACAGACTATAGTCTTGCATATTCATGTTCTTCTGCAGGGGAATCATATGGGTAGTGGCGGTGATACTTTTTTTTATACGCAGGTCATTCTGTGGATGTTGCTGTTGCAGAATTTCATGACTCTGTCATACAATTGTCTTGTCTTTCAGAAAATTCAGATGTCCACACCCTAAATCACATTTACTTGAGAATTGTAACCAGGTGTGTGCCACAGATGTTTTTGTTGATTCTGTGTTTATAATTGTAGTCATGGGGTGTCGTGATAAGGTCATCCGGCATCATATTGTACTGAAATCGTAATCCTGTTGATGTCGATAAAACCTTTGGAAGTAGTTCAATGACATAAAAGTGTTACGCGATTTTCTAAAACAACACAGCAATACTACCGCATATATTCACTTATATCTTGTAAAACTGCATTTTTTTTTTACTAGAGCCACGTAAAGTCGTCATGTGTGAGCCATGAATAAGGGGAGTGGTGGTGTGGTCTGGGGCATGCGCAATCACCTGCTGTCCCAGGCGCAACAACGCTAACACCCTCCTCTGGAGTTGCAGCCTCGCCGCCTACCTCTGTTCAAGTTCCTGGACAAGTAACGCCTACGCCAGCAGAAACACCAGCATCAGCAGTAGGAGCAACAGTGGCAGCAGCGGCAGTGCCGGGGACATTGGTCCCCACAGCTAATCTTCACGTGGACAGTCCACTTGGCGAGAGGATAGGGTAAGGCCACTTCAAACTCTACATATAAGACTTGTGCTGAATAAGTTACTGGAATTGTATATTTAGATATGTAAAAGTAATAGGAGACATGAACACTAAATTACTAATTTTACTGGTTTGCTAACTTTTTGGCGAAAGTCCGTTGCGTGTTCATACATGTTCAAATTCAATTATTTTTCATAAGTTTGACCGAGTTGAAAAACAAAAAGGTTTGAAGAAAGAATCGTCCCCAGCAGCACTCAAATCAGAAACCCTAGGCTAAGGGCAGTGATGCTTTATTGTTAGTATTACACCTTCCAGTGGCTAAAGACGAATCAGTGCCAATATAGATGAGGAGGGAGCGTTTGCCAGCCATGGAGTCGAAAGAAAGTATAAGAAGTGTGGTGGTGCACCAATACCATGGTAAATATTAAAGGAAAGGGAGTTATGAGTACATGTAAGCCATGGTTTAGTTAGCTTCCCAACAGCGACCGCTGAGAAAACAAAATTTCTTTATAATAACGAGAGACCTTGGAAGCTCAGGGCCCTACGCTACGCTTTTTTTGCCTAGCTCATCATGTACACTGTATGTTATTAGAACTGAGAAAACTTTCTCGTTGGCGCCAACTTCGTTGCGGTCTTACACTAGTGTTTTACGTCGACCATGATGGCTGCAATGCCCAACCATACCACAACGAACTGGTCGGCTACAACATTGTATTGCAAAAAGTTTCCATCTGTTCGAGTAACATGCATGATGACCTAGGCAAAAAAGCATAGCGTAAGAGCTCTGAGCAAAAGAAATAAACTTTGTCTTTGCATTCGAGGGTAATACGACACCGTCTACCACCTTGATGACCTAGGCAAAAAAGCATAGGGAAGTTATAAATGTTTCATTCTCCTATTTTTTTTTAGACATAACCTGGGATTCGAACCCGCACTAATGCCCTGCATGCATTTCCCCGATACACTTCGCATACATACTCATTCTTCCAAGTTGCTTCACGTTATGATCTTGCATTTTACAGTCCTATTTGAATTATAGCAATAAAAACTGATTTATGGCAGTTCTCTAAAAAACGTTATTGTGTTCTAGTCCATGGACCCCGTCTAAAAAGTAAGAAATTAACGAAATGTGATAGCCGAAAAGTAAAATTCAACACAAAACCCCACAATAATCACACACAGAATGAAAAGCTAGAAGACCTTTTCTGCTCGTGATACTCTTTCCTATGCATGCATGTTTAGTGTTGAAAGCAGCATTTCAAGACAAGTGTTGTGAAACTTAAACTCTCTATTATACAAAGCACGAAGTATTGTGATTATTGTGAGGTTTTGTGTGAAATTTTTATTTTCGGCTATCCCATTCGTTATTTCTTACTTTTTTAGACGGGGTCTTTGGTAGCCCTTTCCCAAAGCATGCACGAGGAACTTCCTTCTTTGGAACTGCTTCTTGCATGAGCTGTTTCGTTTCGGCGCTGCTGAGACCTCCTTTCGCAGAATATTACTCAATGACAGGTGAGTTGACCAGTTCCCACTGTGACGGCGATTGATTTTCACTTTGCTCGGAACTGGACTTTCGATCGACCAGAGAGTTGTACAATATTTTACGATTCATTTGCTTGTGTTGACTCTATCATTTAAGAAAAGTGTGCTGATTTTGGGTGGAATGCAATAAATATGGAAAAGCTGACAGGAACTCTTTTCTAAATTTAGCTTTTCCGCTGCGAGACGCCCTTTTACGGAAAACTCAATGACAGGTGATCTCTGAGTTGACCAGTTTCCTTTGATTCGTTTGCTTATGCTCACCCTTTCATTTACGGAAACGTGTGCTGATTTTATTCGGATTTAGATCCATTTTTATCTCTTTGCCCTTGGCTACCCTGTGCGAAGAACGCGAGTTCACCTTCTTGACGGTAAGGCTTATGTTGCTGCTGAGGCTTAGATGTGTTGTCGAAATACTCATGTTCATTGTACATTGGTAAGTTACAAGTAAGGCACTGGTCAGTGGCATACTATCGTTGGCAGTTCCCAATCTGGAGGGAAAGGTTCAAGGACCCATTGACCCAGTATGCAAAATAAGTTCGCATATCAGGAAAAATCTCCATTATGGAGAGGTTCAGTGACTTGTTTGCTCCATACGAAACAAGCCAATGGGTGCAGTCTTGTCTCGTGAAAATCTCGTACTTGTATAATTGGATTTGTTTACTCGAGTCTGGGCTGTTTGATTTGTGAGTACCGCCGAGATTGCACTGCACCAAATAAAGTTGCGTGCCGCCAAAGCAAGAATTACGATTTGCAATCTGTTTGTAGTACCTGCGAGAATGTGCTGTACATGCATCGTACTTTCTCTTGTGCTGTTTCAGTTGCAGTCATGTTACTAAAGAAAAAGGTTCAGTGCCTCATGTAGAGGGTATAACCCAAGTCAGAGGGTTATACCGGCTGAATATAAATCCCGACTGCGATAGCAGGAGCGATTTATATGAGGGTACGGTATAACCCGACTAGGAGGGTCATTTCCTACTTATGCCAGGTACCCCTACGCATTTCCAGAACAACAAACCTATTTGGAGATCTCCTACATCATACAGTACATGCACAGGATTTGCTGGTTATCAGTTGTCAATTGAAAGAATGGTCGAGTAAGATCAGAAGGATATTCCTCCGTGGATGTTTTGGCATCAGATTTACTTTCAGTTCCAGTGAATATTGTAGCATATTGTCCCGTGAGCGATGCGGAAGTCAACTAAATTGCTGGGGTGCTGGAGTTGTCGTTGAATCAAACTACCGTCACTAGTAAATAAGTTAGCCTACAGTACAGTTTGGACTCTTTGGGAGTAAGTCATACTATTATCATGATTATGGTACAGTGCTGATTTTCACACGCGGCATCTTATAATCAGGTTTGCTTACTTATAAGTAGATGCATTTGCATACACTGTTTTGTATCACTGTATCACATTTCAATCCATTCTAGCGTTTTTCCAATCGGTTTAGGTGGATTTGAAGTACACTCTGTATCATAAACTTAGGTACGAAGGAGACAGTCTGTTGATGATCTTCAACTATTTGAAGTACAATGTACATTGCTGACCCGTTCGGGACACTTCGTGTTTATTTGACGTTCTTTATCCTCCGTTTCAGTATAATACAATCATGTAGAATACTCGGTAGAAGAATTCCAGGTCAGTCTTCTTTTCCATTGTACTGTTCCTCGCCATGCCGTTCTGTGTGGTGTGTACACGTTCATGTGGTGTATGTTGTGTCTGTTGTGAATGGTCCTTGCGCTGGAGTGCTGTCGTCGTGCAAGTTCACTGCCTTTCAGGCAGTGAACTTGTACGGTGGCAGTGCCATGCACCGGGAGTTATATTCAATATATATCACGCGCTGGATTTTTACCGGCCAATATAACCATGGGTAGATGAGCGCTGATTGGCTGAAAACAGGCCCTCCGCACCGTACCCTTGGTTTTCGTCCTAAAGATGTTCGACTGGATATCATTCATACTCTCCAAAAGATGTGTAGCATTTTATTATTATGGAGTGCCTTTTTTTCTCTCAGCACCTCCAGGATACCCTGGAAGAAGGCCTTAGGCCTGTGGGGATTGCCCTATCGAAAATTTGACAATTTGATAATAATTACCTCCAACCATAGCCTTGCACCTTTTATCCTCAGAATCAGTGTAGTTGTTGGAACGAGGTGTCGGACTCAACAATGTATTTGATTACATTTTAATACATGTTAATTGTTCCTCCTTTGCTGTGTTGTTTTAGAAAATCGTGGACTAACAGTTTGAAGTCATTGAACTACTTCCAAAAGTTGTATCGGCATCAACAGGATTGCGATTTCAGTGCAATATGATGATGGCGTTCCTACGGATGCGGAAAACTCGGCCTCTAGCCGAGTTTGACGCGAACCGTGATTTTTTTCCTTGACATTGGTGGATAGCATCAGTCACATCTAAGAGTGACACTCTATCTCAAACATATGTACACAAATAAGTAGTAATCTTATCTTCATTGGAGCGATGGTCTGCAGGCGTGCGATCATGTGTGTGCCTTGTGTGTGTGCGTGTGTGTGTGTGTGTGTGTTTAGTCACTGATTACGCGCACGTTTGTGCGTGTGTGTGGTGGGTGTGGGTGTGTTTGTGTGTGTGTGTGTGTGTGTGTGTGTGTGTGTGTGTGTGTGTGTGTGTGTGTGTGTGTGTGTGTGTGTGTGTGGCCTGGTTGCTCAGGATAGGTCTGCCTGGCGGCAGGACTGTCGTATCTGCCATCGGTCGTTTCGCAGGCCAGGTGACAAACAAGGCACAAATGTGGCGCAGAGCAAAGACTCCCCATCCAAGATCAGCGTGGTACTGTGCAGTGTGGTACATGCAGAAGGTGGGTTCACTCTCGTGGTGGCCTGCGTGTGCATTATTGTTTGCCCCATCGAAAGTGTCCGCACCGGCATCATCGATTCCGGTCAGCGTCCAATCTTCTCTCTTGTGTTTGACATGCAATCGGCAGTTCAAGTAAGTGCCTGGTTTCAGACGTCACATGTGCGACCGTGGCCATCAGGCAACCAAGTCTGACAGAGTTTCATATGGTGTCCGCTGTTCTCGCTGCGGCCGTCAGTTCCGTCGACAGAGTGACCTGAGTCGTCATCTCCGTTTCAGCTCCTGACAATGACGCTGGCTTCTTTCGAAATGGTGTGGCCCTTGGGCAACCATGCTACAGTAGCAGTAGTGTGTGTGTGTGTGTGTGTGTGTGTGTGTGTGGTGTGTGTGTGTGTGTGAGTGTGTGTGTGTGTGTGTGTGTGTGTGGGTGGGTGGGTGTGTGTGTGTGTGTTCTGCCTTGCCTAATAGCTATCATCGCCTTCGGCGATGGGCTTTCCAAAGGTGTGTGTGTGTGTGTGTGTGTGTGTGTATGTTCACAATCTGTAGGAATTTGATGAAGTTCGGCAACATTGGTATTTTTATGAATGAGTATAGGATGATTTGCATGATTTTCAACAGCCACAACCACACGTGTTTGGTTAGGGCCAACAGTTACAAGACTAGGAGTCACTGCCACATCTGGATGCTTCGCCATAAAGGACTCCAATGGATCTGCCACGCAATCCATCGCAACCGTGCACACATCAACAGCTGCACAAGGCACCAAGACAACATGTCCTGCAGGTACCGACAACTCCATCTCAAACACCACACGAGATGAGTATACCACAGGGTCAGCCACACTCTCGGGTGCACACGCCGGGACAACGCCAGGTTGAGCCATGGGTTCAACAACCCGTGCAGACAATGAATCGTCAAGGGCAACACGAGAAGAATATGACGAAACAGGTACATCGTCGGAGCATGCATCAGAATGAGGAGTATGAGTATTGCATGAGGGGGAAGTATTACGCGGAACAATACGATCAAAGGGCGTACGTGACGGAGGACAGCCAGAACCAGAAACATGCAACGGAACAGACACATCGCCAAACATCACAACACCACGAGCAATGTCTAATACACCACCATGCTGCAACAAAAAATCGGAACCAAGAATCATGTCACAGTGAATACCAGGAGACACAACAACCGTGTGCTGGAAAGACAGATTTCCTAGCGACATACACCGATCCATGAATCCAACGACAGGAAGTTGTGCGCCATTGACTGCACACAACCGCGGAGCAGACTCTAGAGGAGGTCGCTCTGTCAAATTAGGCAACAATTTAGAATGCACTAACGAAACACTTGAACCAGAATCAACAAGAGCAACAACAGGAGACGAAGACGAAGACGAAAGACAAACATCAACGTGCACAATAATGGGTGAGATCGCACCACATACCTCCTCGAGGGGCTCCACTCGGACGACTGACGGCGGCCCCGTGTCACCAGTCCAACCTTGTTTTTTGCGTGCGGGCAAGATGCAATGAAGTGGCCCTCTTCACCACATCCATGGCACACTCCACGCACAGGCCTCGCAAAACTCTGGCCACGACCACGACCACGGCTAGGCGCACCGGCACCAGCACCACGAGCAACAAAACGTACATGGTCTTGCTGGGGTCGGGTGGGGCGATACAGACTCACGCTCTCCATTTTCGCCTCCAAAGCAGAGAGACGCGAATCAAAACTCGACAAAAGCGAAGCCAACTGGTCTCGCTCAGATTCCGACTTCAGTGGACCGACTGCTGTGTAGGGGTCACGACCATGACGGGGCTTCACTTCTGTGGAAGACAAAAAAATTCACCGAGTTATTTCTGAACTGAAAAGGCTGAAAGTGGCGGCGGCAGGCCTGCAGGAAACCCACTGGTTTGGACAAAATATCTACGCTGTTAACGGATTTACTGTGATCTGTTCGGGCCGCCCCACTCCTGGCGAAGAGGATAATCGACGTCGAGGTGAGGGAGTTGCTCTTGTTTTGAATCGTGATACAACTTCGGCGTGGAGGGCTGGCGGCTGCGTATGGAACGCGGTGAGTTCTCGGATTGTGAGTGTACGTTTGAAGTACTGTGCAGCTGATGGACCGGATGTTTGGCTCACTCTGGTCAGCGTTTATGCTCCAACGTTTGCTGCGTCGCGGGCTTGCAAGGAACTATTTTATGACGATTTACAACGCACTCTGTACGATGTACCCCAGACTGACCATTGTGTAGTGCTTGGCGATTTCAATGCTCGAGTTGGATCTAGTGAGCAGGGTGATGAGTGGTCCACTGTACGTGGTCCGCATGGATTTGGTGCACTGAACTCTTCAGGAGCTGACCTGCTATCATTTGCTGCATTCAATCAGTTGAGTATTTGTAACACCTGGTTCCCCAAGCGAGACCTCTTCAAGCGGACTTGGCAGCACCCAGGCACTTTGAACTGGCACTGTATCGACTACATTCTAGTGCGCCAGGAGGACCGCCGTTGGTGTATGGACACTGCGGTCGCGCGCAGTGCTGAGTGTGGAAGTGACCACCAACTCCTCTGTTTTACTTTTGCACTTCCGTGTGGACGATTAGTTTGGGAGCGCGACCGGGCAAATGTGCGGCGCCGCCGTTATGATGTTGCCCAGCTGCGGGTGCGCACCTCGGACCCGGACTCACCTTCGCCTGCAGAAAGGTACCAAGCTACCATTGCAACCGAGCTTGTAGATACATGGCAAGAACAGCACGACATAGATCAGAAATGGTCCAACGTCAAGGCGGCTATCGACAAGTCTGCTGCGTCTGTCTTGGGCTTCTCCCGGCGTCGCCAACCAGACTGGTTTCGGGAGGCAGAGTCAGCCATCCAGCCATTGCTAGATGAACGGAATCGGTGCTATACCGACTGGCTATGTAGTGGCCAGAGCCGCGACTGCTCGCACTACACAGCGTTTAAGGTGGCTAGATCCAGGGCGCGTGCTTCCATATCCTCGGCTAGGGTAGACTGGATAAAGGCAAAGGCACAGGCGGCCTCAGAGTCGAGATTCAATGGAGCGGTTGTATGGAAGTGCATCCATGACCTCCAGTCTTGTACCCGGGGCCTCGCCCCTGTGCGCACTTCCGCCGTGCTGGATGAGAACGGTAACATCTGTAGTTCACCAGAGGAGCAGAGCCACCGGTGGGGAAGACACTTTGACGGTGTTCTCAACGTGGCAAGTGCATGGAATCGCAATGCCCTGGACGACATCCCACAGCGACAGGAGGCTGATCATCTTGCTGAGGCGCCGACTCTCCGTGAAGTCAGCCGCGCTATCTCCCGCCTACAGAACGGCAAGTCCGCTGGAGCCTCTGGCATCCTCCCTGAGATGCTGAAGAGGGGTGGCCCTGACCTCACCGCCAAGCTTGTGGAGCTGTTTGGCGATGTGTGGCGTGCTGGGGTGGTCCCGCAGGAGTGGGTGGACGCCACGTTGGTCCCCATCCCAAAGAAAGGGGATTTATCTCGCTGTGATAATTGGCGGGGTATCTCACTGCTGGATGTTGTGGGCAAGGTTCTGGCGAGCGTCATCCAGACTCGTCTCCAGTCCGTGGCTGCAGATTTTCTCCCAGAGTCTCAGTGTGGCTTCAGGCGTGGCCGATCTTGTACAGATATGGTTTTCAGTGTTCGGCAGTTCCTCGAGAAGACCATTGAGCACGACTGCAAAGGCTTCTTTGTATTTATAGACCTCAAGAAAGCCTATGATTCCGTGCCTCGGGATTGCCTGTGGGAAGTCTTATCCCGAGCGGGTATCCCTGCTCCCATGCTTGCCGTGATCCGTTCCTTTCACACTGACATGTCGGCGGTGGTTCGGGTAGAGAACACGACAACTGACCCTATCCGCGTCACGAATGGTCTCCGTCAGGGGTGCACCATGGCACCTGTGCTGTTTAACATCTTCATGTGGGCGGTAGTGACTGTGTGGCAGCGACGAGTCCGAGATGTACCCGGTGTTGGTTTTGAGTTCCGGCATTGTGATGGTGACACTAACGTTCACTGCAAGCCTACCAGGACGGATCCGGTTGCCATTGCCACTGAGTCACAGTTTGCAGACGACTCAGCACTTTTCGCGACGACTCGTGCAGGGGCGGAGACGGCACTTGCAGTGTTTGACACGACCGCAGCTGAGTTTGGGCTTAAAGTTAGCGCTACCAAGACACAGTTCTTGGTTGCAGGTAGGGATGTTTCGCCTGGGGACTGCGCTCCAATCGAGCTAGCTGGCACGGTCATCGAGTGTGTTTCGGAGTTCCGGTATCTGGGATCTCTCATTCATCGCGGTGGCCGGTCGACACAGGACATCACTGCTCGGATTGCGCATGCCTCTCCTGCTTGTGGCGCCTTGCAAGGAACCATCTTCAGCAATCCTGACCTTGATTTGCATATCAAGAGGTGTGTGTTTAATGCATGTGTGCTGTCGCTCCTCCTCTATGGGTCAGAGTGTTGGACACCATTGCAACACGATCTCAGACGTTTGTCAGTCTTTCATATGCGGTGCATCCGTTCCATCCTGGGTGTGTCCCGCAGAGATTGCTGGAATAATCACACGACCAACGCCCAACTGTTGGAGATGTGGGGTGACTCTGATACCATCTGCGTGAAGGTCTCACAGCGTCGCCTAGAGTGGCTGGGCCATGTTGCTCGAATGGACAGTAGCCGGATGCCGAGACAGATCCTGTTTGGCTCACTTCTCACACGTCGCCCAGCACATGGCCCTCGCAAGCGCTGGAAGGATTGCGTTGTCTCCGACTTAAGAGTTCGTGGCCTCACCAAGGAATGGTACCCTATCGCCTGTGAGTCCCGTGCTGACTGGCGGACTATGTACGCCGAGCCTGTGGAGAATGTGCCTCAGCCTGACCCAGTGGTATGTGCGGATTGCAATCGGTCATTCTCGCGCCCTGGAGATCGTGCTCGCCACAAATGTGTGGTTGAGCGGGCAAAGCCGATTGCTGAGCAGCAAGGGGCTTGCCACTGTGGAGATTGTGGGCGTTGGTTTCGCAGCAAGGGTGGTCTAGCTGTTCACCGCTGTTCCGCACCTCAGCCTCAGCCTCCCGAGCCCCGGCAAGTCTATGTGCAAGATGCCTGCTGTGCTGCGCACTGTGCTGTGTGTGCCCGCTGCTTTCGGTCTGTGCAAGGCCGCGGTCGTCACCGGTGCTCGAGGACTGGCCCGCGCCCGACTGCCCAGCAGCGTAATTCGTTCAGCCATGTATGCGTGTGTTCTCGCCGGTTCCGTTCGCCCCACCATCTCCGGCGTCATCAGGCTGCGTGCTCCATCTTCCTCTCTGATGCCCCTCCGGGGCCCACGTGACCCCTGTGGCAGTGGCTCTACAGGACAGGACAGGTGTGTGTGTGTGTGTGTGTGTGTGTGTGTGTGTGTGTATGTGTGTGTGTGTGTGTGTGCGTGTGCGTGTGTGTCTGGAGCGCCATCGGGTGGCGTGCTCTTTATCTCTCTCTCTCTCTGCTGCCCCTCCGGGGCCCACGTGACCCTATTGGTAGTGGCTCAACAGGACAGGTGTGTGTGTGTGTTTGCATGTATGCGTGTGTGTGTGTGTATATATGTGTGTGTGTGTGTGTGTGTGTGTGTGTGTGTGTGTGTGTGTGTTCTGCCTCGCCTAATAGCTATCATCGCCTTCGGCGATGGGCTTTCCAAAGGTCCAAAGGTGTGTGCGTGTGTGTGAGTGTGTGTGCGTGTGTGTCTGGAGCGCCACAGGGTGGCGTGTTCTTTCTCTCTCTCTCTCTCTCTGCTGCTCTTCCGGGGCCCACATGACCCTAGTGGTAGTGGCTTGACAGGACAGGTGTGTGTGTGTGTGTTTGCATGTATGCGTGTGTGTGTGTGTGTGTGTGTATGTGTGTGTACACGTATGTCAATGTGTATTGCAGGGTTGGGGTGGGCTAGTAGAGAAGGGTAGAGTGTATATGGACAGGTACATGGGATATGTAGGTCTGCATGTACATGCACAAAAGCAAATTTATCAAAAAGGCATTCTGTGCCTATATGGCGAAATTGAGCATTGAAGCATGAATTTTTTATTTTCTCATTGGCATGTACACAGTTAGTCCATTCAATAACCAAAAATTGAGGAAGATTGTAAATCAGGTTCTTGATGAAATACCCGTCCGCTATACATCACAAATCCTGTACAAATTTGACAATTCAGTGAAATTGTCATCGCCTATATCTCAAAAGTTAGCATTGAGACCCCGTTTTTTAAAGGGGCACTCCGGCTTCATTTTCGACGCCGAGTTTTCGATGCCAAGACGAAGGTAGGGGAAAGAGAAGACCCCTCGAACAAGAACGAGTCTCCAGAAGCGATCGAGTCGAGCAGGAAGACGACTTTTGAATTTCGCCGAGCGAGCGCTGATGACGTAATGAGGGATTAGCTTGCCAGTGGAAATGCATCTGCGCACATACATTTCACATACTTTTTGGCCAATTTTCAATCGAAGAGGAGGTTGTTTTCTATGTTCTTTCAACGTCGTGAGCGATCCCGTCTTCTATACCCTTCCAGGTACCCTGAAGGTCCTCCAGAGGAGAATTTATCTCCAGCGAAGCGTTCTTGATCCGCGAAATTCGTCTCGAGACATATTCACCCAGTGCAGTGCTGATAAATGTAGAATGTTGAATCTGTGATAATTGTTGACGATGGAGAGAGAGGTTGATAGCCGCTGTCGCAGGGAAAGTGAAGCTGCTGGAAGTAACAACGGGGAGCCCGTTTGTATCACCTGCACAACCAGACTTCAAAGCAGCTTGACCAAATCGGAGGGTGCCTCGTTGCTTATCGTGAATATTACACCGACATGAATTACTACATGTACACTGGTGAGTTTTTATCTTGTTTTGTTCGTATGCTAGTACCCTGGCCTGGAGTTCTCGGTAGCAAATTCCTATTCCCTGGCGTTTTCTAAACATTCTGTGTAGTACTGAATACGTGATCAAGTATTCCGATTGGGGTAGATGTGGAATTTGGACATGTATTTTATTAAAAAAATTCTATTTTCCCAATAGAGCGTTTGTAGTGAAATGGTTGCCCAAATACAACAAAATTGATTCTGTATTTCTACAACTTGTACTGAAATCCAGTCAAAGTAAAAATGATTCTTCATGACAGTTGGGGTCAATGAAATCTGATCCAGGCATAACGAATAGTGACGCCTGCCACCCCCAGAACGAATGCCCATTTGGTGGGGGATACCACAGTACTCGAAAGTGGTGCGTGTTTCAATGTGGCATGGAAGTTTTATAATATGATCTCTGGTCAATGCAACATACGATAGCCATCATGAATTGCAGGCCTCGAACGCAACTCAGACCAGAATCGGCAGTTCCCTAAGTTTATAATTCCATGGCCCCAGCTGTGGTTATAGAAGTTGTTTTGCACATTATTCTTATAGTCGATAGGTTTATAGTGATGGCCACAAACAACGGCAGTTCAAACTTCACTGACGTGTTCATGAGCTTAGAGATTTCTCTCCACTATTTCTGTTGTGCATACAGGTCTGTCCAATATGCATTGACGGTATTGGGTGTGGTATCTGCTCTGAGAAGGGAATCGCTGGAGCCACAGTCCAATTATACAGGCTTTCAAGAAACAGAGAGGAGCCATCCTTTCAAGCTGATACCTGATGTGTACCGACAGAATTCTCACGAGACACCTTACGGACTACGTGTGGTGTGTACTTCATAGTACTCCTTCGACTACTATCTAGAATCATGTCGACTGAAACAAGTTCAAACAACTCTGGCTTCAAACGAGCCTTCGATTAGACAAACAAAACATTCTCTCATATACTGGAGCACTCTGACAACTCCCGACCTATTCCTAACGATTGCCACCGCTTATAAATATGTAGAGTGCTGATTGGAATGTGCTCACAATCTCAACAATTCAGTGCTATAATTATTTGAACGTGTTAGAAATTATTCCACTTTTCCTTCCATAAATGTTGTATCCACATATAATCCACAGTGCTCCAAAGTTTCAGAGTTCTCAGGGTATCAAACAAAATTATTTTAAATACAGTTAAATTGTTCGTGGACATTATAGCGTAACTAATTTACTTGTAGTTCCCTGGTCCTTTTCTTTGCTATAAATTTATCCTTTCCTCTCTAGCCGCCTGCGAGTCCAACAGTGAAATTGTTAGTTCATATTTATAATGTGGGTATGTGGGAGGGGGTTGAACATATTTTATATAAGGGACCTGCAACTGTAATTATAGCAATAAAAACTGCTTTATGGCAGTTTTCTAAAAAAAGTTATTGTTTTCTAGTCCATGGACCCCGTCTAAAAAGTAAGAAATTAACGAAATGTGATAGCCGAAAATTAAAATTTCACACAAAACCTCACAATAATCACAGCCGTTGAAATGCTGCTTTCAACCCTAAACTTGTACTGCACCAACAATTGGCAACATGCATGTCATGCATGCATGGGAAAGAGGATCACGAGGGGAAAAGGTCTTCTACATGTAGCTTTTCATTCTGTGTGTGATTATTGTGAGGTTTTGTGTGAAATTTTAATTTTCGGCTATCACATTTCGTTAATTTCTTACTTTTTAGACGGGGTCCATGGACTAGAACACAATAACCTTTTTTAGAAAACTGCCATAAAGCAGTTTTTATTGCTAAAATTTCTTTTGTTTTTTCTGTCACCAATCAATGGAATGCCCTATCTCAATATGTAAATTTAAACTAAATGATGGCCTTCACATCATATCAAGAGATCAATACTAGTACCGTATTATACGCATTGATGTGCAAGCCTTTTCTTGCAGAAAATGGCAAAATGCATGTTCTTTGTGCGGGGAAACATGTGAGTACGTAGTGGTGGACCGTGGTGATACTTTTTTTAAACGGAGGTCATTCTGTGTATGTTGCTGTAGCAGAATTTCATGACTCTGTCATAAAATTGGCTTGCCTTTCAGATCTCCCCACCCTCGATCAGATTTATTTGAGAAATGTAACCAGGTGCGTGTCGCAGATGTTTTTGTTGATTCTGTGTTTATAATGGTTTATAATGATGGGTTTTCGTGATATGCATCATATTGCACTGAAATCGTAATCCTGTTGATGTCGATACAACTTCTGGAAGTAGTTCAATGACTTCAAACTGTTAAGCGGGATTCACAGAAGTTTTTTTGCGATGCGACACGCGATGCGACAGGCGCGAAACCGGGAAAACCCCAAATCGCAGCCATGTCGCACCCCACGCAACTGACGCAACTGGGCCATCGCATGCCATCGCAGAAGTTGAGCTTGGCTCAACTTTTGCGATGCGATGCGACAAGCGATTTGGTGTACGATTTTGACCTTTTCTACAGCAAAGTTGTACAAAGGTGCAAGAGTTGCCTTTCAATTTTTACAAGTTGTGTCAAACCGCGCGAATATCATGGTGACGTACCCAAATCAGCAAAACTTTGTCGCATCGCTGACTTCTTCTGTGAATGGTATTTCGCGAGTTCGCATCGCACGCATCCATCGCAGATCGCGTCGCATCGCGTGTCGCATCGCAAAAAAGCTTCTGTGAATCCCGCTTTAGTCCACGATTTTCTAAAACAACACAGCAGAAGAGGAACAATAAACATGTATTTAAAATGTAAACAAATACATTGCTGAGTCCGACACCTCCTTCCAACAACTACACTGATGTTGAGGATAAAGGGGCAAGGCTATGGTTGGAGGTACTGAGAGATAAACAAGGCACTCCATAATAATAAATTCTTACAAATCTTTTGGTGAGTATGAATGATATCCAGTCGAACCTCTTTAGGACGAACCCCAAGGGACCGATGGTATTTATTCTGTGAGTTTGTCTTAACCTATTTATAACCAGTGAATACAATTATTTCTCCAATAGACATACGAATAGATTTCTTCTACAGCGAAAGATGATTCTAAGCAAATCATAATAATAATAAGCCACACCAGCTCATTGACTCGTCTCATATGAAACAAATGAGTCACTAGAGAGGTTCTGCAAAACGAAAATGCGTACAAACTTTCGTTCTACATCATGAAGTGCGAAACTTTGCACGAACTTTCGCAACTTTGGACGCGAAACTTGCAGGGAACGCGAAATGAAGTGTCGTAGGAAAATTCGTGAGATCGGGTCATGGCGTACGTGCACTTGGCCCGCGCAAACTACGAAAATGTGCAGAACGCAAAATTCGTGCAAAAATTCGTACACGCTTTCGCAAGGACTGTCGCGAAACTTCGTTCGAATTTTCGTTTTGCAGAACCTCTCTACTGAACCTTTCTTTAGAAACATGACGGCAACTGAAACAGCAACAGAGAAAGTACGATACATGTACAGCACATTCTTGAAGGTACATGTACTACAAAAAGTTTGCAGATCGTAATTCTTGCTTTGGCGGCACGAAACTTTATTTGGGGCAGTGCAATCTCGGCGGTACTCACAAATAATAAATCAAACAGCCCAGACGTAGAGACTAGACTCCAGTAAACAAATCCAATCATACAAGTACAAGATCTACACGAGACGAGACTGCACCCATTGGCTTGTTTCGTATGAAGCAAACAAGTTACTGATCCTCTCCACAATGGAGATTTTCCCTGATTTGCGAATATATTTTGCAAACTCGGTCAATGGGTCCTTGAACCTTTCCCTTCAGATTGGGAACTGCCAACGATAGTATGTCACTGACCAGTGCCTTACTTGTAACGTACCAATGTACAATGAATATGAGTATTTCGACAACACATCTAACATAAGCCTTACCGTCAAGAAGGTGAACTCGCGTTCTTCGCACACTGTAGACAAGGGCAAAGAGATAAAAATGGATCTAAATCCGAATAAAATCAGCACACGTTTCCGTAAATGAAAGGGTGAGTATAAGCAAATGAATCGAAGGAAACAAAGAGATCCTGTCAGCTTTTCCATTATTAATTGTA